TTTTCATCTATGGCAAAAGGTGCGCAAAGTGAAAAATAAGGAGTTACACGATGGAGAAGAGAGAAGATTGACCTATCTTTTTCTTTCGAAGTCCCTCGCCTTGTTGACATTGCGAATGTAAACAAAATTATGACCTGTGAACTCATTCCTGTGCTCGCTTAAGTAGATTATGTATTACTATGCCATTGTCAAAACAATATTTGCCTAATTATCAGTGTCTGCTGTTCCGCATTTATGCTTTCAAGGGCCTTTGCTAATGTTATACCTCATTTACTTGTTTCAAGATTTATTAGACAGTAATTTACGGGAATTGGTCTGAAGAACCTTCTGCACATGTGCATTTTCGCGTTTCTGCTGCCAGGTTTGACAAGTGGATTCTCGACAGGTCAGTGACAGAAGGCCGGCGAGTAATGTTTGGTTTTTGGTGTTGTGTTGATTCTAGGTTGTTCTTAAGACTATACAATGGCAACGAAGAAAAAAAAGACTTTGATAACTATCGCAGTTTGATATCTGAGGCCATCAAGTACCCCAAATCCTGAAAAAAAGTGATAAAAATGAAGCAATGCACATTTGACTGACCGACAGACTAACAGTTTATTGTTAACAGTGTGGATGTAGCTCTATCTTGCCATGCATACTGGGGTGAAGAGAATGAATCCCGGGGGGATAATGCCCCTCGGACGTCCAGTCATGGCACCGTAGATTGTTAGGTTAGGTTGGGTTATGGTCTGGACGTTTTTTGGGGATTTGGAAGGTGTGAAATCCTATAGATTTTGCCAAAAAATATGTTAGATTCCTGTAGAGTTTTTTGACCTTTGGCTGTACGGTGTCTAGACTTTCAAAGGTGGTGGGCATGTCCGTAGTGTTTCATTAGTCTATTTTTAGTTTTTTTTGTGCTAGTTTTACGTATTTATGTTTGCTATTCTTCTTATTTAATACTGTTTTACCCCATAATTTCCCTCATATACTTCATGCCCTCCCCAGCTATCAGGACTTAAAAGATAAGATTGTTGGCTGTGGTTGCTACGGAAATGATCATCAGATTCATTCTCGTCACACGACTTTTCCGACATGTGAGTGACTGATTATGCAGCTATATCTGAATATAAGAACACAAAATGTACTCATGAGTCCAAGTTGATGTGACTGGGTGTACTGCCTGAGGGGAGGGTTGATGGGGGCTCTGCCCCCTAACTCCTCCCAGGAAACATCCTCTTCACGGCAAGATAGAGCTGAAACAGTTCAGAAATGTGGCTTTTCAGAAATGTGAGCCAAATTTTCTATTTACTAAAATCAAAGAAATACGACTTCTGAAATCCTTGGCAAACTTTCCATTTATGACAGAGAAATACAACCTTTCCATAATGTAAGTGTCCGATTATGCCGCCATATAGGGATATAAAAAAGTGCAAGTGCATACGGAAACCAATACAAAATTTACTCAACAGTCCAAGTTGCTGTAATTGGGCGTGGGCATGCCTGAGGGGTGGGTTGATGGGGGGCTCTGCCCCCCAACACCTCCCAGGAAACATTTTCTTCACCTCGGTATTCATGGCAAGATAAAGCTTAAACATTTCATGATTTTTTACTATCTTATATTATTTATTTACTTAGCTAAGGGGGTGCTCAGGGGGGCCCTCAATCACTCTGCCTATATTGTATTTTCTTTTACCGAATTTGGCCTCGTCAATTTCCACAATCGTGCCTGGGCCCACCAATCTTTTCAGTACTATTTTTCATGTACAAAGAAATCAACACCTCACTGCAATAACTTCCCTAGTCACATATAGATTTGTCAGATAATTTAAGTTCATGTATTACCAGAGAATAAGGAAAATAATATCATAAATAATAATTAACAAGTAATAAATATGTTTCAATGTCCAAATTAGATTTGGTGAACCAAGTCTTGTGAAAAATCGTTTTCTTATAATTACACCCAATTGTTCTATTGTTTTTTCTAGAATTATCACATCTAAAAATTTTCTTGTTCAAGTCAAGTCTGCCTAAGTATCGACTGTATTGTTTGAGTAGTTTGGCAATTAGAGATATTAATGAGTTAGCCAAAATTGAAGATCAAAATATACATTTAACTTGAGAACGGCTGAGACGTGAATATATATGAAAAGATAGATGATAGTCGTGTGCATTTTTATGATATAGTATATGGAATATTATATTTCCGTTTCCCAAATTTTGACTTGTCTGTTTCTGGTATCATGCCAGCACTCTTCCAGTCACTGCTTAAACACATTACATTTCACATTTGTTTATCGAAGGGAATAATTCTAAGTCAAATCACACTCCAAAAGGTTTGCGCACTCATGGTGAGTCTTTTCTGTCACCCTGGCCTTTGCTTATGATGGCAGTTTGCGTCACCTGGGCCATGACCAATTTGCCTGGTTGACGTCATGTTCACATCACCTGGGTAGCAGCTCAAGATTTTCCTTGACGTGACCGGGTCCAAGGGGTTAAGGTCTTAATTTTGTTCCATTTGATTAGGAAGAAAAAAAATTGAGAACACTACTGTAACACAAATGACTCACATTGCTCATTGTCACTGAGAAGAATATGGCAGGTCATCTGTGTAGGCCAGAAATGTACAGATGTTATTTGAAATATCTTGAGCATTGACAGAGTTTTTTGAGTAGTTTAGCAATTAAAGGTAATTGGGGCTGACATCATAGCTAGGATATTTGATGACATTTACTAGAATAATGTCCTTTGCTGGAATAATGAAATGGAAGCCATAGTGATCACTCTACACTGACACAAATGAGTATGTTGTTTAATTTGAAGTTTGGGGTATAAATGTCAGAAAGTGAAATTTTACAGTGATGTATTTTGCCCATAACATTACATTGCATAAATTTCATTGTTTACTTGCTTTTGCTTGCAGAACAATACAGAGCTTTAGGGAATCACATTATACATAATTTTCTAAGATATTCATGAGATTGAAGGAATCTGATTCTATTTACTTTCTCTGTTTGGCAGGATCACGGAGGAGAATTAACGTCAAAGGTGGGAGGGCCACACACACTACGTCTGTTGCCCATAGGAGAGAAAAGCTTCTCTGTGAGCAGTGATGTGTTCAGTGCCCAGTATATATATGACTGTGTTAAGGAAAAAAGACTTCTGGATCCAAGCAAATACAGGTATATATTTTGTTGTTTTGGTGAGGTTCATGTAGACCCTTTTTGATTGTATTCTTTAATTTACCTCAGTATCAGGATTACTGTTATTATTTTTATTAAGGTGGCTGTAATAATGATAATGATGATACAGTAATGATGATTATGAAAGAAATAATAGTAATGGTAATAATGATGATGATAGAATGAATAGTAGTAATACTAATGATGATTAATATAGAAATGATGAGGATTATAATAATGAAAATTATGATGATAGTAATAATGATAATGAGGATAATGATAAAAATGATCACAATAGCTGCACTAATAACATCATTATCTCATGATGTTGGGAAGGTAAGAATGCATGCCATGACCACTGTATGTTTTTGGTTATTGATTTTCTATACAAATAGATGGCTCCCATTTATCTTTTTTTTATTTTCAGGAAGATTCTTTTTACTTATTATTGCTGATTTTACCGTAAATAACATTATGATTCCCATTCTATTGGTACTGATATTATCAAAGTCAAAAGAAATCTTTTTCCCACAAACTTATATTGGTAATGACATTATCAAAGTCAAAAGAAACCTTTTTCCCTACAAAGTCAAGGAAAGGGAAAATCAGGTAAGGTCACATAGGCCCACTAAATGGCTTCTTGGTGCCTTGTGACTTGTGGAACTACCTTTATGCAAATAAAATTCACAAAAGGAAACATATGTTATTGTAATTACCTGGCAGCATTGGGTTAATGGTGATAACAGTGTTCAAAAAGGTAAAATGTTTCTGGCAAATTCTAGGAATGATGTAGATAGGAGAGGTCAACTAGGCCTAGTAATTGAGTGTTTTGTTAGGGTAAAATATGATAAGTAATTTGCCCTCACCAAATTTACCTCTGTCAAGAAAAGAAGAATGAGAGAGGAAAAATAAAGAAAAAAAAAAAACTTTTTTCTTTTCAGAGTAAATAAGAACTCATGTTACACTGATGACATCAAAGTCCTGGACATCATCCGAGGTGTGCGTTCTTGGGCAGACTGTGTGCGTGTGGAGTAAGTGCAGTCAGCCTCCCTTTGCTGAATGTGAGATTAAATATCTGACAATTTTGATAAATTACAATAAGGTTGTGTAGTGGATTACACTTCACCCACCATTTTTCCTTGTTTGTTTCACAGGATTGAAGGTCCAGAGGATGTGAGTGACTTCAGTGATGATGAAAACTTCAATGTCTTGATGCAGAACAGGACATGGAAAACAGGCAGGTCAGTTCTCAAAAATTAGCACCAAGAGAGAAAACTTCAGATTTTAATACAATTACTAATGATATAGAATAGAGATGAATGAAATTAAATGAGATTAACCAAAATTAAGAGAAATGCCCAAAGACCTAAACTTTGGGGCATTTGTGAACAAAAGGTACGTTTATTTTCATGCCAATTATGCACTGATAAAGTCTGGATTTTAATACAATTATATGATAATATGAGATCTTAGGGCTGCCTTATATTCTAAAATCTGACAACAGCATCCAGCCACCACTGTAGAAAGTTGAAGGTATAAACTGTGATTAGATGGAGATAAGGATGGCATGCAATACATGTCCCCTTTTTCAAGATGTTCATTATGACTGTTTATCTCTTTTTGTATCTCTATGAACCAGACTACACTTCTCACAGTTGAAGATCCAGTTATAGATTGTAACAACAAGCTAGTTTTTATTGCACATTCTAACAATATGTTCATCCTTGCAGACGCCCGTACAGCCGCAATGAACAGAAATCTATCCTAGAGTTCATCATCAAAAACAAACGCTATGGAGAGGTCAAGGGTAATGTCCTGTGGAAGGATATGGAAAAACGTAAG